GGACAATGGGAGCAGGACTACTCTGGCTCTAAAAAGCAAATTCAGAAGCATGCATTTAAAAATAATTTTAAGCATTTCCATGTTCTACACAGGCAGACAGTAGAAATGGGCTGGCAGTCCAAGCTTGCTGCAACCAAAGCTTACTCGAATTATCATTTGTGTCTCCATTCCTATGCACTTGATTGCAACAGAACAGTTGCAGTCCCATTTCTTCCCTCTACCTTTTGTTCTGCCTAGCATACTTAAGGTCATTTATTCTTGAAGACCTACCACTGTCCTACACCCTGAGGACACGTTACTTCCCCCCAGAACTTATGCCAAGTTCTAACAGTTGAAATGGAGGGAGCAGACCCTAAAAAGCCAAGACTGCTACCCCCAATATATAGTACTGTATTTCTCATTCTGGAGCATTCACACCATACCAACAGCAGAGCACTTCATCCAAATACTCCAATTATCATGGAGAGAGGTTATCTTCAGTCACAACTAGTGAAACCCATGGGCAACTGCTGGCATAGACACCGCTGCCTGCACTAACTTGACCCACACATGCAAGCCTGACTCTCAGAGAGGAGCACCCATCAAGGTTTCCCACAGGACTCCTTTAACATTTTACATGCTTTCTGTTTTTGCACTGAAGCCTGTCCTTATCTGCACCACAATTAATGAGACACAGATCTCTGAAGCAGGAATATAGGACTGAGATGCTCAAGTAAAAGAAGTTGATTCACTCTTTTGTGATGGCTAAGAAGGTGAGACTCAAAATTCTCCTCAGAAGACATGGTGACTACGGGATCGATAAAGCGCTCAGAGAGGCTTGAAAGATTTCCAAGGTTGAAGGAGAGGTGGTAAGTCAGAAGATTCTCCCGCCAGGCCTCTAGTAGGATGGCAGAGTTCTCTGCGAGATGCATCTTTGCCCAGGAAATGTTATATTCCTTTATTAAAGAAGACAAGGAAAAGACAGAAAAAGCTTTGGCATTGACAATAACAGTCACTGAATGAACATGAAAACCTATCCATTAGGAACTGGAGGAATAGTCTAGCAACAGAGACTAGTAATCTATATTGATTTCATGTCAGAAAACAAATTGCAGGATAATCTGTCCTTATTCCTTGGCACTCTTAGAAGAAAATCAAAGCAACTATTACAGATGTGGTAAATGAGGGCAAATGAAAAAATGGCTGCTGCTGAAACAGCCCCAAGCACATTCCCTCTCCCTCATTTTAAATACAAGGCTAGTATTTGTTACTTTCACTGCTTCAGCACAGTAAAAAAAATACAAACCTACCAGTTATTTGGGTTTCTTTAACAAAAAGATCTGTTTTCCTATTCGGACACCTGTCTACCTACTGAGCTTTTTTTGTAGCACACCCAGCCTTGGTCTAGGCCTGGACTATAAATAAAAGAAAAAGATTTATTTTAAAGTTTATACTTTGCTGCTTTATCTACAACTCAACAGAAAGACTGTTCTTAGAGAAGCCTAGACTGGGCATTTTTCCCCTGTTTCTACAGCAGGGGAAACTGTTTTAAGAACAACATATTAATCCAAAACATCACAACCATAAATTCATAGGAACAATCCAGGCTATCACTACACAGTTTCAGAATCTAGTTACCCAAATGGTAAATTATAGTGTGGCAAACAAGTGAAAAGCTTTCTCCCACAATATTTAGAGCTAGACAGACATCCACAGGAGGAAGAGATTTTGTTTTGTTTTCAAGCTGCAATAAGAAAGGAGAAATGAGACGCTATGTTTATGAAAACATGCTAAACAGAAAACAAGTGCTGCTGGTGAGGGTACAGAGAAAGAAGGGGAACACTTAGAAAAACTGAGGTTCTAGGCTGGTTTTACAAGATCTAACTAATTTTGGCCTTCCACTCTGAAAAACACTTTCATTACTAAACCTTATTCCCAGAAAAAAACCCAAAAAACTACTGCATATTTAGGTAAAGAAGCTTTGCATTTGTACAGGTTTCTCCTCCTCCCCTCTCTCTGAGAGGTTTCAGCTTACCCTTTATTCATAACTTACTGACAAAGTAGGAAAAGCAGTGCCATCCTCTCCTTCAATTTCATAGAAAGTTACAGCTTCTTCTGGTCCTTGAGGCTCCTCTCCATTCCCTGCTACAAATCCATACTGACACTCCTTGTTCACATGGTGGCTATGGCTGTACGAGCTTTAGGAACAAGAATGGAGGTTAAAATCACCACTAGCTGCACTTCCACCTTGGGTTTGGGGCTCAATTTTAACTCACATCTTTTTGCAGAACCACAAGAAACCTTTTGTTCCACACTGTGCTGCTAACAGCCAACTCAGCCCCTCATGTCCCACCGTCCTCCCCAAGTCTCACAGAGCAATGTTTGGTAAAAGAGGTTTGTAGTCACTTACCAGGACCCGCAGGAGAAATTGTCATAGTTCTGACAGCATCTCTTTCCTGGACTGGGGCAGAATGCTATTTGAGGGCCAACCATGTTGTGCCTGTTTATAAATCGGGCAGATCCCCTAAGTTTGAAGGGGAAAAGGTGCAATTACCAGGAAGTGCCTCTCAGTGGGAACTCAGCTGTAGTTTCACTTATTAAACAGCACAAACTCTCTGCTAACTAGTCTGCAGCAAGAATGAATAAAAACAAGTGGTCACCTCAGGCAGGTTTCCAAGGCTTCATACCTTGGCATCCCAAATCCACGGTGATGTCTCGGATTCTGCTGATGATAGGGCTGATAAGGTATCACATTTCCAGCACCCTGTGAACAGTGACCTGGAGGAGAGCGTCCCAAGGGAACGCTGTGCTGAAGCCTGGGTGGAAGAACTGGCTGACCCCTGCTATAAGTCACAGTCATAAAGACTTCCTTCCCACGAACTTTCTTGAGCATTCTCTTCCGTGTTTTCATATCCATTTCTGCAGTTTCCATGGTAGACAGAAAAGACAGATTTATACCTTAAACCTGAGCTCTACTCTCTTTATCATTTGGGAAGAGCTAATAATTGGGCACACGGAAAAGAAAAAGCCAGTAGCCTATCCCAGAAAAAGGGCATTGTAGGTATGCAAACGTCAGACCCTTCTTTTCAAGGATCAAGCAGGCATCCTAAATTATGGGAATTACAAGCATCTCACATGTTAGTACCTTCCCAACTTCAGCTGAGCAAACCAGTACTCTCAGTGTTAAAAGATCACTTTATGAAGGCTGCATTTATTTATAAAATGAATTTAAAATTCCACAACAACTCCAAATGAAATAAATACAATCCATATTTAATTGGCTGGAGAAGCTCTAGTGCATCCGTGCATCCCTGCGAATGCCAAACCAGACAAGCTTTCTGGTTCACTGATACGATCTTTATATATGGTTCTCAAGTGGCAAATTTGTTCTTGGTAATTTTGAGCAAACCTCAATTTGCTATGTATTTCAATGAATTTGCTCTTTGGCAAAGGCAAATTCATCTCTGTCTGAAAGACAACTTTACACAGGCTGAATTAAGCCACTTGCAATAGCCAAATGCTGCTACAGTTAAAACCATCCCAAGTATTTCCCTTATTCCCCAAGGGAAGGAATGCTTCTGGAAGCCTTGTACTAACCCGCTCCTGAGAAGTATCCACCTGTTACTTTCTGATAGGCTCCTCCTCTCCTGTTGTGAGCCGTATTCCAAGCAAGGACAGGTGCCACTTGTGTCACTGGCTTTAAGTTTGCCACAGGAACTGTATGCCTACACAGAGAACACGGATGTCAGCAGCGTCCCAAGGACACACTATGCAGAGCTGCACAGCAACATAAGCTGAAGCAACACCAAAACAGCAGAAAACTGAAAAAGCCACAATTTAAGATTATAGGGAGCTTGTGAAGTTAAATTATTTGTTTCTCTGACACCAAGCACACACTGCTGCTAGTTATCTAATTAAAAAAGGCAAGCTAAGTTTTAGTCTCAACACTACTGACTTTCTGTGTCAAGTCTTTCCTCCCTGCATTGCATGTCTCCAGAGGAACACCTGAAAGTATCTGACAACACATAATTTTTGCAGGACACCATTAAACTGAGTCGTAGCTTTGGAGGAGGGTCAATGATTCAACAGCAGTGGGAGAAAGTGATTAGACTCACCAGATACCAATTATTTAGTTGTTTGAGTACAACATTAAAAACTCCAGAGAAACCAACAGCAGAGGGTAATTTGCCATCTGTCAATTAAGGCCAAACTGCAAAGATCACTTTCACATTCCAGTGAAGAAAAAGCAGCAAGATTCCACAGAAAGCATTATGATAATGATGTTAGCCATTAGAAATCAAAGAGAAAGACTTTCCTGCAACATTCTCTTTGAAGAGTGATAGCCAGGAAGGAGGCAAAGTCTCACGTTATATTTAAAAGCCTAGGTCCTCTTTTGAAAGTATCTTAACAATCCTACTTTAAGTATCTGTGATGCTCAACCAGAAAGAGTTCAGGTTTGAACGCTATGACCAGACTGCTTACTTTTCTGCCAGTTCCTCAACGAACACAGTCAATGTGTTGCCATCCTGTCCAACTTCCTGGATATGAGCATTGTAATACTTTCCTCCTGGCTCCAGACGTACCTGGAGAGAGAACAAGGGAAGTTCTGAAAAACCCTAAACTGCATCCGAATAGAGTCTACAAACCACTAATAGCAAAGGCTGCTCCCAGCCCATCCTATGTTACTGAGCTGGCCCAGGAGTCTCAAATACTTCCTCAAAATTAAAGACAAAATAAAGAGCATTGTACTAACTTCAGGGAGGAAGGAGAAAAGAAAAGAAAAGAAATCAGTCTTGCAAGGGACTAAGAGGCAAGATACCTGCTATCTAACTTATTTTAATACCCTGTGCCAAGCAGGTAAGTCCCAAGGAAGACTGCTACTTAAGAACTCGAGGAGAACAGAAGATAAAACAGGAAATTGGAAAGGAAAACTCTGCTCAGTGAGAAACAAGTCACTGAGTGAATCATCAGCCCTACCTTAAACAGTGATAAAAAAATAAGCCCTCACTACATACAACAGCAAAATACAAAGAAACTGACCTTCCTTTCAGCATCTCCTGGCCAGACCATGCTATTCCTCCCTTTTTAGCTCTTCCCTTTCCATTTAATAAAAGTATTTGCTACATCACAGTTACGAATAGATGACTATCTGGAATTGTTGCTGCTCCCCAGTGAAAAATCTAAGGACAACTACCTCAAATGCACACCCTGTGCATTTTGAGCTCTTTGCCTGGAACTCCCACACTCACACAATGTGCATGAGTGCTTCACAATGAATTCCCAAGTCACTTTTCCTTCATACTACCCAAAGCTTAAAGGTAGAATTTAGAAATAAAAGACATTAAAAAGAAAGACTGTTAGCCATAAGGAAGATAATGAAAAAACCCTGGAATAATCTACAAAGTCACATGATTTTATGGTTTACCATATTCTATTTACAGCACAACTGAGTCTCTTTTGTACTAACCTGACACTTGTCTCCTAAATAGTACTGTCTCCCAGCAAACACCATGTGGTCAGTTTTTTGAAGCTCTAAAAATAAATGAATAAATAAATAAAAAGGAAAAAGCCTTTAAACTACTGTTCTTCATGCATCCTACAAGTACTTCACGACAGCATCCAATTATAATTTATAAGCCAATTGAATTAACTATTTCCTATGCATACCTGAACATTCCTCATAGTAACAGTGAAGTAACTGTAGATGTTAAGGTAGCAGACCATAACCAGGCTAAGGCACAGGAGACCAACAGTATCCAGATAATATAGTGAGTAGCACTACTACTTCAACACTACAATGTCTCCTGTGGTGGTACAGAGCTAATCCTGCATTTAATACAGATCCTGGTATTAAGAACACTGGATATGTCTTGTCTTGCCAGAGTCCCGGTGGCACTCAGCAAACATGAAATGTCATCCAGGAAATACTAGCATTGCCTAAAGTCTCCTCGCTGCTGGATTTCAGTGGTTTTTTTCTCCAGACTTTGCCTGGATTCCTTGCACATCAGTATTCTACATAGATAATTGGTTACCACACTCTGTTCCAAGAATTTTAATGACCCTCATTACTGCTTATGCAGTTGTGAAATGCTGGAGTTCTTCAGTATGCAAAGCACTTTGGGTCAGACCTCAAACATCACTTAAAAACTTATCTTTCTTGCTAACTTCTTGCTTTACAGATCAGCCACAGTACATGCCAAAATGCACCCAAGCCATGAAGACCATGAAATCTCTCCAGAATGTTTAAGCCTAGGAGGGCTGGGAAGCAGAAGAAAAATCCTTCTCATCTGACAGATCTCAATGCTAAATTTGAGATCTTCATTATTATACAAATCTGAGGCCAAAATCATGCTTTAAAAAGAAGTCCTTGCACACATGCTATAACAAAAACCTCTCAAACTTGAATGCTTTCCAATACAACAGAATGGCAACATAGTTCTGTACGCTGCTTTGATACTCCTATTTCCGCTATACAGTCAGAATGTAGCAGAGGTCAGATTTTTTGCAACCTTGTACCATTATATAGTGTCAGCAGCAGTGTACTTGGCACTCTGAGCTGCAGGCAAGAAACCAGCTACTAGCAAGCAAGTGTACTACATGCAACTATCTGCTGGGTGCACCTGTATCCTTCACATTTCAGCTGTGAAGAAACAGGTGACATAGGACTCAGATTCATAAATTCAACACTAAGCCTAGTACAAGAAGAGTGTTTCGGCTTTTCTCTTTTCAAAAGGTACCTTTTCTGCTGTCCAGCCAAACATCAAACTCCACATTTCGGTAGATCTCAGAGTCCAGTGCCTTTAGCACTTTATAACGAACAGGCAACTTTGGAGGATTTTCTGGAAGCTAAAAACAGAGCTGAAATGAAGCATTCACAAGTGCACATTTGTGTGTTCCGTGGTGTCTCTATTCTGTCAGCATCTCTGGACCATTTAAAAATGTACAGATGCTATTTTCCAAAATTTTCACTGTCACTGTATTTCCCTAAAAAATAAAACTCAAGAACGTAATTTAAACATTCAGGTGTTGAGCAATCAGACTTTGGAATCAGGCTCAAGAGTAACACCTGGCATGTTCTTTACTCAAGAAGAATCAAAGGAAGCTGACCAGACCAATGAAGCCATGGCTTCAAAAGTTGGGGAGAAATTCAGTTACTATATCTGAAAACAGGTTTCTGTAGTGTTTCCAAAACTGTTCAGAAGTGACTTATACTACAGTCAAGACAAAAGGGAACCAATTTAAAACATTTCTGGGAAAAACAAACAGCAGACCAGGAAACATCTGCTAAGCTCCATCTTTTGGGGGAAATAAAAATTACCTAGAGAAGAACAAGAGAATCTCAGAAAGGAAAAAGGCTTAAGAGAAACTCAAGGACAAAACCAAAAGACAAGTAGATGGAAGAAATAAACCACCTACTTTCCCAGTATCAATTTTTACGAAGTGGAAAAGAAGGTTTAGCCCTAACAAGGGTAACATCATATAACAACAGGAAAAAAACCCAAAGGGAAACCATAAGGATTTCTTCCCTAACTGACAAACCTTTTCTTCTTCAATGCCTTGTTTGAACTTAGCTTCCTGTGGATTGTCAGTAGCATTGCCTTCCCAGTCGTTCACTCTAAGTAATTGAAAATAACATTACGAAAGATACAACATACGATTTCTAGCCAGGATTAAAATCAACCAACTGTTCATATGACCTGAAAAAGCACCATGGTGCCATCAAGTGGTAGATTTGGCCTTAAACACTAGTGATGTGCTATGCAATGCAGGACACTCCTTTTCCAAGTTTTAAGAACATGACCTTTACATATTCCAACACTACCCCCGCATGAGGGCTACTGTTTGTGTTAGGACAAGATTAAGGTGGTTCCACTGACTGACTGAACTCTGGCACTGTCAAGTACAACAAGACACCCTGTTTTAAGTCCCATCAGACCAATGTCGTCTGCAAGCATTCAGTAATGGCCAGAGGCAGCTCTCAGGCCTTTCAGAGCTAATAGAGGCTTAAAAGAGTAATAAGTCTCTCACTAAGGAAAGCAATAAATAAATACATAAATAAATAAATCCCCTCTGATGACATGAGTAACAAATAAGCTGTCATTGTACAGAGTAACACACAGCTATAACACAGCCCACAGCAGAGGATATTCAATTACATGACACTTTCCAGCTCCAAGGAAAGCACACTCTCTTCCACAATATACTTGAGCTTCGCATTTGCATCATGACATAAGAGTCAACATTTCATGAACATTCAAACAAACTTGGAAAAAGTTGTCCTTTGTGAGGTTTTTAAGGGTTTTTTTGCTTCCATTTTACCAGATCCCCTTCCCAAAATACTACCTCTTTTCTGATGGATTTCTGGATACTTTTTCATGAAGACAGCCAAAGTTTGCATCCTCACATCCTACAGGACTACTGTTTCTGTTCTTCTTGGATCCACTTCGAAACACCTCAACTGCAGACCTCAATTCTTCCTCATCCATGCCAAACACATCTTTGTACAGGATCTCATATAATACAGCTGAATAAATCAACACAAAGCTCAAACCAAATTAAGATAATACGAGATCCATAAGAACTGCTGCAATTTTCAAGGTAAGCATATCTTCAGACATTATCTACTGTTACAAGGCACTAGTTACATTAAATTCAATTAAGGAGAGGATCATAAGATAATTCAGATGGGAAGCAGGGACCTCTGGAAGTGATTTGGTGCAACACCCCACTGACAGGTAGAAAAATGAGTGATGTATATATTAATATATAAAAAGTGAGCTTTCATCTCTCTCCTCCCCACCCCTGGGAAACACCACAAACCCTGCCTATAAACATAGGCAAACATGCCATTCTCTTCCATAGAAAAATGATTTCAAGTTTACCCTGGCAAATAGCAGCATTTTCCTGAAATTGCTTTGTATACACAGAGTCATAATGGCCGTTGCCGGAATAACACAGTAAAATCTGGGAAAATAAAAAAAAAAACAAGACGCTTTAAGCTGGAATGATATAAACCCTAACTCTTTCTATATGATATCCTGGCTCAAGACTATGTTGTTCTTTCTTTCTTCACTTGACACCAACTCATCAAGAAAACAATAAATAGTCTCAATATAAATATGACAACGCTGTAGAATCAGCTTAAAAATGAATCCCAGGTAAAGTCCCTAATAAGTTTGTTTATTACACAAAGAAAAATCAATTTTTATATCCTACTACATTAAACATGAATATGAGTTTGTTTCCAGCTTACCTCTGAGACCACCAATTGCTCAAGAGGTAAAGTAGATACAAGCCACGAAATGCAGTACCCCAAGACACACTGTTCAAGTGACGAAGGCTCATCTCATCCTTCTCTATCTGAGGGACTAGAAGAGCATTTACTCCTCTAGCCCTCCAAGACTGGCTTTTACTACGCACTATCACGCTGCCTTTTGAAGAGATGCCTTCTACAGCATATGCATCCATACACCACGTAAATGTGTACCATCAAACCCCATCTTGGCACGCGACTACAGCCAACTGCAACTGGCAGAAGCCCTGAGGCAGCTGTCAGCACGTTGCCAGCAAGGATGCTTCCCAGCAAACCAGAGGGAGCTGGGATGCCAGGGCTCTTTATTCTGTGTATTCTGCCAACACAAGCTCTCCTCTCATGGTGAGGATGAGCAACACCAGAAGGAGCTGCTGCCTGTATGCACAGTGCAATGACAGACAGCTGCCAACACTTAATGAGAGCTCTGGTGGTAAAGCCTTCGAGGACAAACAACACATTTAGACTATACTGCTTGATTTTTAAACTTTGTTCATTTTGAAATTAAGCTACACAGGAAACTAACAAGAAAAAGACAGAAGTGCATCTAAACAGAGTCAGCAACACTGATCAACAGAGATCACAGCTGCAGTAGCACTGACTTCAGAGCACACTAAGAACTTTGGCAAATATAACAGCCCACACTGAAATCCACACTGCAGCAACTTCACTGGCATCATGCCTGAACTAACCACAGAATTGTGCAGGCACAGCCACACAGCTGCAAAATACATGAGGGGTCAGATGGAAGATTACAGGGTATTTCTCCCTTTATGTTCCTTCCTTTTTCCCCCAGCAGTAATTCTGATGTAGCTAGGCTGTTCCAATAGCTCCTGTTCTTAACTGGGATCAATAAGCATGTCACAGAAATCAATGTGTTAGATTAATCCATTCACATTAACTTCCCCTTTGCAGGACAAAAAACCTGCACACCTCATCTAACTTCAGGAAGAGGCACTGGGGGTAGGGAGAACAAGTTCTCTTCGCAAATATGAGACACGTATCTTGTAGCAACTCAATGTAACTCAACACAATTCGTGCTACCCTCTCAGACGAGTCAAATCTGCCCTGGGAAGTGTTTTTATGCAAATCTATTTCAGAAACATAGAAGAATACCCTGGAGTTGTGATGCTACCTCTTCCTGCCAAAAGAAAACTAAATTTTAAACTGAAGTAACAGAAAAGACTGGCAGGGGAACAGCATACAATCCATCCCCCAGATGAGAAGCAAAGCTACAATAACTGTTGCACAAATCTTGTGTCTTTTCCATGAGCTGAAGTGAGCCTCGGGGTCTTGTTCAGGTATGCAAGAGCACTGGAGCTACAAAAGCTCAATTCCAGTGGCTAATTTTTATAACTAAGCAGGACTGGAGGTAACTAGGATTCAGGGGCAGGAGGAAACTGCCCTCACTTCTACTCACCTTGTCTTCGAAGTCATTGTCTGTAGCATACGTCGGTGGCTTTCCAGGGTACCGGTAGAGGATAAAGTCTCGTCTAGGTAAGCGGAGGATAAACAAGACTTGTAAGAGCACACGTTTGGGAAAGCTATGTTATGAAGTTTGCAAGGAACTCTATAGAGAATCCACTGCTGGTTTACAGAAAAATCAAGCAAAATACTCTTCCTAAGAAATGAATGCTACCATAAATCAATGTCCACATGAACAAACACCTATCCTGAGGAGAAAAGGAAACTTACCTGCCAAAAACTATTTAGCCACAGATTAAGTGCTTATGCTTACAGAAAGATGCTCATACACTGAGACAATGTAAGTGATTTAGTTACCCTGTAAAAGTACTAGAACCTCAGTACAGGAAACTAGTAACTCTTGCCAAACTTCAGTTTGTTCCTCTAGTACTGGGACAGGACTCCGCAAAGGGAGGGTTCTTAGATCTATCACAGGAGAGCACGCTGCTTGTTACAACAATTCTAGCAAGACAGCAGCACCTGTACAAGCTTGCATTACCTCTGAAATAAGTATCAGGGTTTACACACCAGGTAGGGCAAGCACTCCTCACTACTGGAGCTTTCAAGAACACCTACATGAGTTCTAGGCACGCTTGTAACCACCACACAGTGTTTCCACTACACAAAGCTAGTTTTTCCCCATTTTCCATCCTTCAGCCACTAGAAGGAAACACTTGGCATTCAAGTTTAACATGAGCATAAAGATAGCAAACATAGCTGGAAACTGACCCTCCCTTCACCCATACTAGAACACAGGGGCTGTGGTGGTGCCACTCACAAGTTAAGTGACTCTGTTTCACTCATTCACATCTCAGTGATAAATAAACAGAAGGTTCTGGGGCCAGAACCCAAACACCATCAAGTCCAAAACTGAGTGAAACTTAAGAAAGAGATACTTACTTGTACATCAGTGATAAAGCACTCATTTCCAGCTGGCCAGCACTTTCCTATGCAAGATTATGAGATTACATGAGACAGCAGAGGCATCTTCAACATCAAGAATTCTATTCTAGCTGTGTGTAGTATTAAAATACCTATCCAAATTCATCGATTTCTCAAAACAAACAATGAATACACTGAAAGGTGAGGTACTGGGATTTGTGGGGTGTGTGGGGTGGTGACAGGGTTCTGCAACATGGGACGGCCATGATTTCCAAGCTGAGTAAGATGGAGCAGTTCTGGCAGCAACTCTTAAAACACATCATGCAATATATGGGGGGGTTTAAAATTTAAAACCATTTGTTTCAGAGACTGTTGCACTCACCAAGCTTACAGGTTAAAGACAAAAGAAACAAAGTCTGAACTCTGGTATTTGAACCTGGTAAAGGAAGAGGCACAAGACTGCAAAGTCTGATAAACATCTGATGTCATGTACACTCCATGCTTTTTCCCCTCTTAGAGGAGAACTGCAATTTTGAGTAAGCTTTTACAGTCCATTCTGCAGAGATTGCTCCTTTGCACCCATACAAATTCTCCACTAAAACTGGTGTTTATACATGTACAAACAGTTTATCCACATTTATTCGGCACAAACCTTTAGTATTACTTACACAATTGAGACCCCAGGATTTGGATCTATCTAAAAAAGCCACTGACTCAAATAACCATATTTAAAACCATTACCTAATTACCTTCCTGTTCCAGACTCCTAAAAGTTTAATCTCTTCACAAGTATTAGATCAGTCTTACCTTAGGATTTCCTAGTCGTTCTAGGTATTTCTCAAACGAGCCTTCCACACACTTTCAACAAAACAAAGAAGAAAACATATATAAAAACTTAAGCAGTTGGAATGCACAGTTACACCTAAACACTCTGTAACAGCTACTAGCCGTTGAATGGGACAGGGCAGGGGCTGGGAGCATAGACACCAAAATTAGGACTTGTCTGCCAATGCCTATCATTTCTGGGTTCTGAAGGGCTGTGATCTGACCAGGGGTATGACATCAGCTGTTCCCTGTCTTAGAACACAGGAATGATTTGGGGTACCAATGTGGAAATACCAAGAGATCCAAAAAAATTGAAGGGCACAAGCCCTAATAATACTGAGTAACTCAAGGCCCTTCTAGATTAGATTAAGCCTCTGAATTCGATTACAGGGAAACCAAACAAAAAACCCCCAGAACACAACCTCCAA